GGTTCCTGTTTGATTGACTGGGAGTGCGAGTAACCCTTGGGTGAGGCTGACATTGTCTGGAGGAAACACCAAATCCCCAGGCCGTGTGTTTACGTGTTTCACAGGGTCCATGCTGGCAAAGGTTACACCCTGTGTAGCACCCAGAGTTGAGACCATGTTCGTTTCCTGGAGCTGCTGTAACAAAGCACCATAAGCCAGGTGGCTTAAACAGTCTGGAGGCCACAAGTCCAACATCAAAGTGTCGCAGGGCTGCACTCCCCCGGGGTGGGGGGCGGGGGCAGAGTCTGTCCTGCTTCTGCCAGCAGTGGCTCCAGGCTCCTGGGCTTGTGCCCGGGCCCCACGGGGCCTTCTCTGTGTTGTGTCTCTGTGTCCCCTCCTGCCACCATCTCCCTCTGCTTGTCTCTTAAGAAGACACTTTTGATTGGATTTGGGGCCCATCTAATAAGCCAGGAAGATCTCGTCTCCAGGTCCTTAATTACATTTCTGCAGACCTTTTTTCCAAATAAAGGCTCATTCTGAGGAGGTGGACACATGTTTCGGGGGCCACCACGTGGCTCAGGTGGACTTGAGGAGTCCGCTGGCAGGGAGGCAAAGTGGGGCCACCTCTCAGGAGCCCATGGGACTGTACCCACACGTCACAGCACACACACTTTGCACATGGAGGTTCCATGTCTCAGGTGTCCCCAGACCTACGGGGGCTTGGACCCCTGTGCTGGTAGCTCTGTGGCTTGTGATGCTCTACACCTGTTCTGACAAATAGTCTGCTCTGAAACTCTGGTCTCTGGGGCCCTATGAGGACGAGCTGTCCGCGATGACTGCCCCCTCTCCCTGCAGACATGGTGGAGATGCTGCTGCTGCAGAGTGCACAGATGCACCAGGTCATCATGCACAACCTGATGCTCCAAGCCCTGCCCCTGCCAGTGCCGGTGCCTCCCCGGGGGCACCCCACCCTGCAGGTAGGCTCGGCCTGGAGCAGACGCCAGGCAAAGGACCAGAGGACCTGGGTGGCTCCCGCCTTGGAAGCTGAGCATCCATGTGGCTCTGAGCAGCACAGTTTGGGCTCTGGGGTCTGTGGTCAGCAGTGAGGCCCCCAGCACTCTGGTCCCCAGATGAGGGATCCTCCTCTTCTGTCCCCTCCTCTCCCAGCCTTGCCCATCCTGGGAACGGTGGAGGGGAAGGGGGGCCTGGTGGCTGGCCTGTAGGGATGGACTCGTGCGTGCTGTGCCAGGACCTGCCACGGGCTCCCCCTGCTGGCCTGAGAGCGGAGAGGCAGAAGCCGCCCCACGTACACCACCACCATCACTACGCGCCCCCAGCTCCGCTGCAGGTGACCCCTGCGCCCGGCTTGCCTGTGCCGTACCCTGCATGGTCCCCGGCGGTCTCAGCTGCCACCCTCCCACCAGCCGCCAGCTTCCTGCCTACTGTACGCCACGTGGCCGGCCCCTCAGCCACTGCCCTTAGCCCGTGAGTCCTGGCAGGGCTCAAGGCCACCTTCCTGACTCTGCAGGGGAGGACCCCGGGGCCTGGGTCACCCTCACCACCCCTGCCGACGGGCCAGGACAGATGGTCTACGTGAGGTCCGTGGGCCGCAGCGGGGGATCCAGCAAGGAGCTTGAAGAGGCCCTGCCATGTCCCAGAGGGATGTAGCTGGGACCACGGCAGCATCCTGGGGAAGCCACCTGCGGCTTAAGTCATTTGTCCAATCCAGCCGGGGTGGCCCTGGAGGTGTCCAGTACGAGCACGGCAGCAGGACTCACCTGCAGGTGGTGCCTGGGGACCAGACCAGGCAGTTCCGACACCTGACATCTTGCCTTCCCTTTAGGGTAGCGTCCGATGGCGTGCTGCCTGCACAGGCTCCCGGCCTGTGAGCCCCAGAGCCACCTGGTCCTTGTCCTCCCAGCCAGGGCCTGGTTGAGAAAGCCGGCGAAAGCCGGGCAGTGGTCCCTGGACACCGGACTCTGAGGCTCATGAGGAAGCACTGAGATTCCGGCGGCGATGCAGCCGGAGCCACAGGGGAGAGGAGGGGCGTTAGCCACGCGAAATGCAAACCTTCCTGCGGGAGGAACAGCCTAACGAAGTCAGACAGAACGAGAGCGGGGGTGGGGACAGAGACGTGCCCGGTCGGACCTGTGGCGCCCGGCTTCCCGGGGCACGAAGCAGCAGGAGCTGCCGCCTGCTTCTCCTTCAGAGGCCTGGGGAGCCGGCGCTCTGCCCCAGCTGCTTCGAGAACCACGTGAACCAGCTACCTTTTCTCTTTCTTTGCTTGTTGGTGCTTTTTTCTGGGCTCTCTTGATGTTTTAATGCTGTTTGCAAGTCGATGTCATGTTTAGCATTGCACATGCTTTCGTGGCCCCTTTGGGGTGAATTATCTGTCTCCCTGAGCTCTGCACAGCCCACCGCTCCTCCCTCCTGCTGTGGGAGACCCCCGCTCCTCCCTCCTGCGTGGGAGACCCCCGCTCCTCCCTCCTGCTGTTTGCTCCCCTCCGTGCCCTCTACGCACGGAGCACTTCCCTGTGACGCTGCTGGGCGCACGTCCGGGCTTCCCCCACGGGCAGTTCTGAGACTCCCGCTGGCACCCTATGACTCACCCAGTTCCCACCCTATCTGCCCGGAGAGACCGTCAGACCCCACGGAATGCAGCCCAGTCCCACGAGTCTGTGCCTCTGCCCCCATCACTTTCGACGCCCACCACAAACCCACGCTGTCACCCGTGCTTCTGGCCTTCAGCTGCAGGTTGGAGGTCCCCAGGACCCCTCAATGGCTGCAGCAGCTCACGGAGCTCAGTGAAACACCTGCCTGTACTCGCCAGCTTGTTGAGGACGTGGTTTAGGACACAGACGAACAGTCCGATGAAGAGACACTCAGCGAGGCGCGGGGATCCCGGGTGCCGGGCCCCGTCCCCGTGGGGTTGGGGGCCTCGCCCTTCCGGTGCGGGTGTGCCCCACGGTGCTGCTGGGGTTACGGGGCTTCCTCTGTGGGCCCCGTCCACCATACACACCTCAGTCCCCAGCCCCGCCCCGCTCCCCTGTGGAGGGCGGGGCGGAGCTGAGAGTTCCCAGCCTTTATCACAGCTCGTCTTTCTGGTGACCAGCCCCCATCCAGGAGCCACCCAGAGTCACCTCATGAGGACGAAAGAGGCTCCTGGCACCAAGAAATCCCACGGGATTTAGGAGCTCGGTGCCGGAAGCTGGGGGCAGAGACCAGTATATATGTCTCTGCATCTCAAACATGGCTTTGCTGGGTCAGTGGGCATGAAGAACCATGTACCTGCATGCAGAGTCGGGTGCTGTGGATCAGGGCGACACACAGTGGGCGGGCCTGTGGGAGGGCGCGGCCACACCTGAGGTGGGCACATTCCCCCTTGGTCCCTCTTGGGCCAGCCTGGGGAAGCTGAAGAGGTCTGAGTGGGCCCCGGAAGTGGAGTGGGGCTGCCTGGGAGGGTGTCCTGGGTCCAGGTGCCTGGTGCATAGTGGCCGGGGCCTTTGACACTGTGATATGAGAAACACGGAGCTGGGCTGTGTCCTGGTCCCTGGCAGAGCTTCTAAAACCCTGTAATCCTGGGGTGACGGTGTGGGAGGCACAGCTTGTTATTCCCAGTGGGACCTTCCAGCCACACCTAACATGATGCTAATTAGCAGACCTGGGGCCTCAGGGTGCAGGCTGGTCGCCAAGGGAACCACCACAGAGGAGAGAGCTGGACCTTGCAGCCCCATCCTGACCCTCAGGCTGAGTCAGTCGCCAATAGCCAGCGATGGTCCATCCTGTCTCGGTGGTGGGACCTCTGTAAACACCAGGATGACAGGGCTGGTGACCGTGGGGGTGGTGGGGACAAGCCTCTGTGTCAGGACCCTCCTAGGCCTCGCCCTGTGTGCCCCTCATCGGGCTGTCACCTGCAGCCCCAGTAACAACGGGCGTTTGCCCGGATTCTGTGAGCCAGTCTCACAAATTATTGAGCTGGAGGAGAGGGTTGTGGGAAACACTGATTTGTAGCAAAGTTGGGTACCCCCAGTCGGGAGTAGGGGTCAGTCTTGTAGGACTGAGCTGTAACTCGTGAAGTCTGCACCAACTCCTGCTGCAAACAGTTTTCTCTGAACGCCTGAGCCCTGAGCCCCATGGTGGGGTGCCCGCCTGTGCGAGATGGCAGGTGTTCAACGTGAAAGCCCTGTGAAGTGGGCACTGTGCGGGGGGCCGGAGCCTCGGCTGTCATGGGCCTGCTGCGGCTCGGGGACTTGGGTCTTCCCGGCACACTTGGGAGCTGGGTCTGGGTACATGCAGGACAGAGGGCCGCGGGGCCCATGGCCTCCTGGCGCAGGAGGGACCTGTGGGTGAACACTGGGTCCATGGACATGCCGTGGCCAGGACAGCAGGGGCACCGGTGCCCGGGGGAGGAGGCGGCGTGGCAGCCCCACGATCGGGCAGCAGGCGACGGCTGCTGGTGGGATGGGGTGGCCTTTCCCAGATTTAGGTCACAAGGACACTTGGCCACATCCCCTATTTTCAAGGATGTAGTAAAACCTTGGAGTCAATTAGGAAAAAGAAAAACCAATGGGAAAATGGGCACGGACAGCAGCAGTCACCTCACAGCAAAGGGGACACCAGTGAAGAGGGTCCCTGGTGACAGGAGAAGCGCAGAATGGCCGCAGCGTGTGCACGGGCACGCGTCCGAGTGGAGTGGTAGGGGTGTGCCCGGTCAAGGTCTAGGCCCCGAGTCGTGCTACAGGCTGTGGGGGGAGGGTGACTTGGCGTCACCCCGAAAGCCGGACCTCGCACCCTGGCACCCCCAAACCACGTCTGTGCCCCAGACATGACAGGACAAGCAGGCCTCAGGACGCCTTCAGTCTCCTAAGGATTTTGGAGCCGAGAGCTTTCTGAGTCTCTGCGTTGACTTTAAACTGGCTACAAGCAGGCTGTGTGAAGCCAACGGTGACCCAGGAATAGCACAGGTCCGGGTCCCTGTCCCCAAGGGCCAGGGCAGTGCAGGCTGAGACGGGACACAGATCCAGAGGTGAACACGGTTCCATGTTTCTAAAATTGACTCATGGGGGAAACCGAATTCTCGGACTCACGGCACCACCGGGTTTTAGGGCCAAAGAGGATCCTCGGGAGACTGCTGTGGCCATGATGTCTTCGCAGTCGGTGGGTGGTGCAGGAGGGCGGGCCCAGTGACTGTCCCCTCCCCTCCCACCATACGCCCCCGGGCTGCGTTCCCTGCTCTGGAGGTGCTGCAGAGGCAGGACAGAGAGAAAGGCCTCCTCACTGAAGGCAGGACCGGGGAGGGGCAGCCAGACGTGCCACCACGCCCTCTGCGAGCTTTGAGCTGTTTTATTCACAGCGCTGAGAGCGACATGTCTGCTATTCTCGGCAGACACAGACAGGTTTCCCTTGTACTTTAGGAAAGTCGATCCACCGGGGAATCTAGTCCCTGCAGGGGCCGCCACCAGCAGGGCCTTCAGTCTGCACCCCGACCCTCAGGGCCCACAGGGTGGGGCTGTCTCCTATCCGCAAGGTGTCCCTGTGTCCCCCTGATCATCAGAAGGGCCCCCGCTCAGGGGCTGCAGCCTGGCCCCCAGGCGCCGGCCCAGCTCCTCCAGAATCTGCTTCTCCTTCTGGTGCATCTGAAAGAAACCGACAGAGCCCGTGTGCCCCAGGGCCTTGGCCGCAGTGTGCCCACACAGGGAGGCCAGGCCCCGGTCCCGCTCACTGTCGGCCCCTGTGCGGGGCGTGCCACAGGCCAAAGGATGCTGGGGGCCAGGCTGGGCTGCTGGTCTTGGTGGGGAAGAGGACCCGCCTGGGGTTGCGGGATGGGTCAGAAGGACGCAGGAGTACTGATGGACAGATGCCCCTCCTGGGGGAAGGAACGGTCAGGGCTGGGGGGGCTGGGGTCCCTGGAGGACGCACCATGCCATGCGGGAGGGACGGAGGTGACATCTGCCAGCCTGTGGGTTGTAAAGGTGGGGGCTGAGGAGAGGCAAAGTGGTCACAGCAGGGTCAGCGACCAGGAGGGGAGTTAGGGCCAGGGAGCGGCAGGTGAGGACGCTGCCTAGGGTGGCCGTAGGCCAGGGAGAGGACAAGTGCATCCGGACTTCTTTGCTAATGAGGTTTCTGATGCTTCTCAGAGAACCTGACTGATGATGACAAGCACAGTCTGAGTTGAACACAATGTGGCCCTTCCAGGAGACCACCCGGCAGTGACCCGCGACAGGCCTCTGTCAGAGGCCTGCTTCCAGCTGACAGATACTGTCACAATTTCTCTTGTGAAGGTTTTTAAGCATCAACCCGCTAGAATTTCATAGAATTTTCAGAATTCAGTCTCTCTGCTCAGACCTTCCTTTCAACAGTGACTTAGTAAGAGTTGACAACACTTGGGGACACTGTGAGTCTTTTCTATAAAGCAGGTATTATAAAACACCTTGTTTTACTGTCCTTCCCAATTTTGGTTGTCATCGCTGACAGCCAGGGACAGGTTGGGCAGTCCTGGCTGTGGGACACGACACTTACCTTCTGCCACTCAGCCTCCGTGTTGTGTGTGAAGCCCAGTAGGTGACAGAGCCCATGGGTGGCGGTCACCTGTTGGAACAATTAAAAAGACGCCTCAGGGGCTGGTTGTGACCAACCATGAGCTGGGGAGGAAAAGGAGCGAGTGCTCAGCCCGTGCCCGCCGGGGCTCAGGTGCCTGCTCTGGGCGCAGGCAGCGCCGCTGGTGGGCGGGCGGTGAGGACACGCACTAGTGGGGTTCGGAGAGCAGCAGGCAGGCCGCGGCCCACTGCCGGTGTGAAGACCAGGACCTCCTCTGAGGTGGGCTGGCAGGGGCAGCAGTTATTGCCTGAGGGGACAGCTGCTCTTCAGGTTAGGGGGAGAGGGGGACGGGGGTAGCTGCAGGGTACCTGGGAGCCAGAGTGGCCTGGCCCTGTGCAGGGGAACGAGGGTCCTAGGAGTGTGGCCTCAAGAGGTTTCTGTTGCAGGGAGTGACAGCAGATGTCTGCAACTTCCCCCAGCTCACGGGGGCACAGTTGCTGGCCACAGAGATCCCAGGGCTGGACTGTGCTGACCAGTCCTGCCTACGCTATTTCCTGTCACTCGGGGAGAATGGACAACCCCCCACACACCTGCTCACACCTATCTCTGCTTCAAGTCACACGGAAGCACTAAGGCTCCAAATGTAACTCAGGGTGTGGCTACTGGGCCAAAGGAAGACCCCTCAGTCGAATCTGTGGGGAAGTTAGGGTACGACTCAATCACACACGCCACTTTTGGAACACTCACCGCTTTATACTTTACATCAAGCTGAGGGGCACAGAGCTGGAAAGTCCTGGCCCCTAGAATCCCTGTCATGCCGTGGTCCCTGTCTGCCCCTCCCCAACAGTGCCGCAGGGCACGCAGACCCCCAGTCCTCCTCTCTCCACAAGCCTCGACCCACACGTGGGAGACAGTGTGCCCACGTGGGGTGGGGGGCATCGCCAACCTCTTCCCATGGCCTAGACCTGCCGCCCGGTGTTTCCACTTACGGTCAGGACATCATAGTAGTCCTCGTGTTCTCTGCACTGCTGGAAGATATACTCCACGCCGAGGAAAATGTCCCCCAGGTTATAGTCGTCTGGAAAAGCAGGCTGGGGAATTCCGCCTGCTTTCAGATTCTGCAAATGAGATGCAGACTGGGAGAACACCCCTCAGGAGCACCCCCGCCGCGGGCTACACAGTTTGCACTGGAAGGCCCCGTGGTCTCACTAGGCCTCTGGTAGAGAGGGGACTGCTGAGCCTCTAGCGCGAGTCACCCAAGATGTTCCCTCTTGTCAAATGAGTTACTCCCCGTTTCTTTCATCTTTCCCCATGCACAATCACAGACCTACAGCTCCTAGGAGGCAAACCACCACATGGATATTCCATTTCTGTTCCTTCTGCTGGGTATTTTGTCCAAAACTAACAACCTTCCACATTTTCCTACTTAAGGACCATAAAGTCCAGTCCACTCAACTGAGTTCTGTTCACGCTGTCTGTCACATACGGCTGCATATTTAGAGTGTTATTGTTTTTTCTTGTCGTTGCAGAAAATAAGTGAACATTTTAATGCATCTTTGTATTACATTTAACATTTTATCGCCTTCCTTCTGCTGATGTATTTCCGTAGGTGGGAAACTAGGGGATTAAACAGTACATATGCTTTAGATGCTTCTGAAGTGAGCTGCCAAGATGCTTTCCAAAACCAGTCGCTCAAATTTATGCTGCTGTTAACCGTGTGTAAAGCTTTGAATGAACCGCTTACGTGAGACAGTAACCTGACAGCTATCTCGTACTGTTAAAATAGTAACTCGAATCTGTTCTTTTACTTAGTGTTATTAAAATTCCCTAACCCTATTCATGATTGATTGTTCGTTATTGATTCCATTCAAAACTGCAGAAGCCCTGCACTACTAGTTCACTGGTGGCAGCAGGAGCCGGGAGGGGCTGGGTTCCCTTTTCTCCTCCAGCGATGGGCACTGATCAATGGGGCTGAACTCTGCTTCTGTATACTTGAAAGTCTTCCAAATAAAAGTAGAAAACCACATCTGTAGTATGATGAACACAGGAAATCTGCCCTGGATGGTAGGCTAGACAAGGCGAGGAGAACGAGTCTCACCTCATGAAATGGAAAAGCGAGCACATCGGTTGGGGCGTCTTTCTCTCTGTACATTCTGTTTATGCGCCGAACTCTCTCGTTGTCGACGCAGATGATCCCCAGGTCGAACTTCTGGACCCCCAGAATCGCCCGCAGCATCTCCACCCTGCGGCGCAGCGGCGCCCTGCGGATGGGGACGGCGCGCTGCAGGTTTCTAAGCACCAGGCTCATCAGAACCGCCAGGGGCCCTCAGGAGCATCCGCCAAGGCGCCTGTGGCTGAAGTTCGAGAGAAGGCAGATCAGTGCTAGGAAGCGACAAGGAAGTCTGGAAAAGCACACACGCGCGCACAATCAGGTCATTTTGTTCGGTGTAATTCACCGAGAAGTTTACAGAAATTTCCATTTCACCGTAAAGAAGATGTAAAAATGAAGGAGTAGGAAACGAAGCCCCACAGTCGGGCGTCCCAGAGGGGACAACGACGGCCACAGGAAATTCGGCTGGCGGAAAAGAAAGGGCCGTCGACAGTGAGCGGAGGCCGGGTCCAGTTCGGAGAGAGGAAGCCGCCGGCGCACGTACCGGGGCGGAAGCCGGCGACCAGGGCCCGGACTCCGCGCACCGGAAGCC